TTTTTTTTTTTTTTTTACCACATTTTTCAAAAAAAAAAAACCCTTTCAAAATCAAACCACTGAAATTTCAAATGTTGGAGGCAAAACAGGGGCTAATGACTTAAAAATTAAAAATGAAATTTTTGTCTAGTGTGGACTAAAATCAGGTCAACAAATTAAACGCGCCATCATCGTCGTCATTCATGACGTGGTTGGATGTGGGGTGGGGCTTAGAACCTTCGTCTCCATTCTCCATTATATAAGTCCCACAAGATAAAAATTCGCATAAATTTCAATCACATGAGCATTGCTTTGCGTTGGATATCTAAATCGGTCAAAATGGCAGAGGAAATCACTGCATCCGTCGCGGCAACCACGGCCACCAAAACAAAGAAACGATCTTTATGGCCCACCGTCCTCCGATGGATTCCCACCTCAACCGATCACATCATCGCCGCCGAAAAACGACTTCTCTCTCTAGTCAAGTAAAAATGAAAACCCTATTTACGTTTTCTCCCATTATGTTAGCGTTGTTTGATAATTTTATTTTTGTGCTTTTTAAGGACGCCTTACAAGACAGAGCAGGTTAATATTGGGTCGGGTCCTCCGGGTTCGAAAGTTAGGTGGTTCCGATCGGCGAGTAATGAGCCAAGGTTTATTAATACGATCAGTTTTGATAGTAAAGAAGGGTCTCCCACGCTTGTTATGATCCACGGATATGGGGCTTCTCAAGGCTTCTTTTTCCGGAATTTCGACGCCCTTGCCAAGCATTTTAAAGTAATTGCAATTGATCAACTTGGGTAACTTCGATATCCTTTTTCGATTTATTAATATTGTCGTGAATTAGGATTGATTTCGATATGGGTTGTGTTCTTGTGGTGAAATATTCTTGTTTACCAGGTGTTATCTGCCATTAATTTTCGATGATTCTGATTCTTTGTTCAATAATAAATGGGAGTTAGGCTCTCTTATATTTTGTACGCTTAAATGTATGAATCATTTATTATTCAAGAAAATGAAGATTTCAACGTTTTGTTTGTGTCGCATTTATTGCTTTAAGAAACAAGATAACTAGAGCGGAAGAATAATGCAGGAAGAACGTTTTTCCAGTGTTCTCATCTTTCTGCTGCCTTTATTTTCTTGGTGCAGTTGGGGCGGTTCTAGTAGGCCTGATTTCACATGTAAAAGTACGGAAGGTAAGTGCCGGAAATTGCTCCTTGGTATTTCCATTGGTGGAATAAATGTGCTGAAATCTTCTTTAAGTTTGACATGCCTATATATGTGCTGTAACTTTTAATGTAGAAACCGAGGCGTGGTTCATTGATTCCTTCGAGGAATGGCGTAAAGCGAAAAATCTTAGCAACTTCATTTTACTGGGGCATTCTTTTGGAGGATATGTTGCTGCTAAATATGCGCTGAAGGTAAATTTTTTGGTAAGCAACAAATTCTAAGACTCGATAATGAGCGCGTCCAACTGATTTCGATTGTATTGCTATTACAGTATCCTGAGCACGTCCAACACTTGATTTTAGTGGGATCTGCTGGATTTAGTTCAGAAACAGATCATATGTCTCAGTGGCTTACTCGGTTTAGATCAACATGGAAAGGAGCCATTGCAAATCATTTATGGGAGTCTAATTTTACTCCGCAAAAGATTATAAGGTAAGCAGTCTTTGCTTTCTTTTCTATTGTGCAGACGTGCATCTATGGACTATGATATAATTTGATTTTTTTATTTTTAACTTATTTATCTCTCTATTTATCTTTACTTCCATCAAATTTGTGCTTTATCAATTTAATGTGCCCCTTAACCGTCCTCACCAGAATCAAAATTTCCTTGTTCTTTTCTTAACATGGCCTTGTCCAAAAAAACTGCTTCAGTCTTACTACACTATAAGCCTGTCAAATAACCTCCTCTCAAGTCTCAAGTTATGGCCAGGACACTTTTCGTGCATTGCTCACTGGTTTTTACTTCGCTAAAAGGAAATTATTAGGCTGCTGGCCACAAGTTTATGAAGATTTAACCTTATCTTTTCTATAATGCAGAGGTTTAGGTCCTTTCGGTCCGGATCTGGTTCGCAAATATACTAGTGCGAGATTTGGTGCCCGTTCACAAGGAGATGTATTAACTGAGGAGGAATCAAGATTACTTACAGGCACGTACAATTAACTTGTTTGGCTTCCGACGCATTATTTTCTTTCTTATCTTTTTTCATCTTTTAATGATAGATTATATGTATCATACTCTGGCGGCTAAATCTAGTGGAGATCTGTGCTTAAAATATATATTCTCCTTCGGAGCCTTTGCACGGATGCCTCTTTTACATAGGTGAGATGCTTCCATTTCAATATTGGTTTTTAAACTAGTGGAAAGAGTGCCCAGGTAACTCTTACCATTAGTACCTTACTGGTAAATGATGGGCTCTCTGATATTTACCAAATTCTGATGTATTTTGTTAGTAGGGATATTTTTTTGGGGAACATGTATTGTGGTGGTGATCTTATACATGTTGGCATGAATAACATAAAATGTTTGAGACAGTTTATCGTGCGACTTTCTTTAGAACTCTGTTCTATACAGGAGAAAAATAACAATGATGCTTGACAGTATTTATAATGCCGTTACACATTTACTCTTAAAGTATCTACTTGCCAGGACACATTGCCATACACTTGTATGTTCGAGTCATTGAGATATTCTTAACACATTTGCTATATAGGACCTTATAGTTTTGTAGCTTTCTTTTGTCTCTCTCTCTTCCACGTATTGAGATTATTTTCTGTTGGAATTCTACTAGGATACTTCAGTGACATGGTTGTGTTATCTTAATTTCGAAGTGAAGATACACGAGAAATAGTTAATTACTTTAGGTTTGTAACTATCACATACTGTGCATGCAGAGCATCAGAGTGGAAGGTGCCAACAACATTCGTTTATGGTTTCCAAGATTGGATGAAATACCAAGGTGCACAAGAAGCTCGAAAGCTAATGAAAGTCCCGTGCGAGATAATAAGGGTCCCTCGGGTATCTCTCTCTCTCCCTGCCTATTATACAATTAGGCACGGAAATTATGTCCCTTCCTTTGCTTTGAAAAGTCGTAAGTACAAACTGAAATTTCCTTCTCTACTTGCAGGGTGGTCACTTTGTATTCATAGACAATCCAGCTGCTTTTCATTCGGCTGTATTCTATGCTTGCCGGAATTTTATTTCACCTGACCAGGACAATATCTCACTTCCAGAAGGCCTGGAATCTGTCTGAAGAATAGAGAATATGTTGTATTATTATGTTTAACATATGAATTGACATTTCTGTCACAGCGAGGAGCACTTCGCCTGATTAAGAATTTTTTGCAATGTTCCGCTACATATGGGGCTATTATTCTTTTGTATCGACATCATTTTTCATTTTTTTTTTTCTCTTTTTGCATATATTCATGGACGAGCCCAGTTCTTGGTCTCTGTAATTGAGAAATTTCTGTAATTATTGATTATAATTGAAGGTTGGGACCTAAATATCACCAAAAATTGTGTGTTCAAGGTGCAGTTTCAAATTTCCCAGTTTTTTAAGCGCTGGAGTGAAACTGAAAGCGTTGCTTTCAATTGATGCCTCCACAGACAGAATCATAATGCTCCATTCTGAACAAAACAGTCATTTTTTGCTTCATTATTGCTCTTGCAATGGCCTGTGCAAACTGCACAAGTGCCTGATGCTAAACGACAGTGAGGAAACCATTAACCATGTGAGCGTCTGAGCCATGGCCAACTATGCCATTTATATACTGGTTTCTGTTTTGGCGCTAAATATAAGCCAATATGACATATTCACAGATGCTGACTCCCACCCCCACAATTGTTTGCCCATTTTCAATAAAAAATTGGAAAAATTGTAGGAATGGTCCCTAATCTTTCAAATTTTTGCAAACTTTATCCTAACCTTCACTTTGTGCTCAGAGGTCTTCATAAATATGCGTCTGGGGGTCCCTCTGGATGGAAACCGTCCAAAACACCATCAGTGACCTGAAAAATTAATAAATCATGTATATTGACATTTTTAAGTAGGGACAATTTCGTTCAACCAACATTTCTCCTTTGATTTAAAAATTGAAAAGTCAATTATTTTCCACTAATATATTCACGTTACACAGAGAGAGAAACAGTCATCTTTTACAATGTCTGGTGAAGAAAGCCATGAATCTAACGATAATGTTGAAGATATTGCTTGTCACATATAAGGCCCTCTTCTTGAACCTGTCTACGGTAAGTATTTTTGCGTTATGAAAAATCTGAAAATAACGAGACTCTTTGTTACACATTGAGCCTTTATGTAGTTTCTTCTACTGCAACATTGCATGTTTTTTTTTTTTATTATTGTTTTATAGATTTGGGTATATCATAAAACGTGCAATATCTATGTGTTCACATTATGCATTCATGTACTATGAGACTAGAGTTTGAGTCTGATAATAATTTTGATTGAATTTGTTTTATAAGAGAAAGTTTTACTTATTTCACCATAAAACTACACCATGGTGGTATATTATTCGCCAAGATACGTAATTTTGTGTACGAGCATGGTAAGATAACATATCTCGACTACGTGAATCGGATTTGGTTTAATAGATTTGTGTTGGACAATGCCTTGAACATGTTAGGATACCCCCAAAATGATGTATCTCTATAAGGTTGAAGAAAAGAAAATTAGTGAGGCATCTTTTTGGTTGGTGGAGGATGCTGACTTCATGAATTTAGTGAAGTTACTTGGGGATAAGAGGATTGCAGAGTTGTGGTGTTTGCATGTGGTTGAAGTGTTGGAATTTTCATGGGATGAAAAAGTGAGAGATGCTATTTCAGTTGTGGATGTTGAAAAATGAGAGGTTTTGGAGGAGGTGGAAGAATCAGGGAATGCAAAGGATGATGGACAAGTTGATCACCATATACACTATGCTGTGGAAGTATATGACGATTGTGCAGATGGTCATGATCTGTATGCAATGGATGAGGTTGAGGGTGCATGCGAAATAGATGAAATGCAAACAGCCACAAATGGTGATCATGAGGTACATTCAATAAAAGTTAGCATGAATGATAATACTGATGAAGATGCTAATGTTGGAACAGAAGCTCGGGAGGCTGGTGAAAATGTGGGGGCATCAATGGATGAACCTACATTATTTGAAAAAGTGGGGGCTGCAATGGGTGAACCTGCATGTGATACTGATTTCAGGGTTGCGGTTGTTGAAAATCTAGAGCCTGCAATAGAGTAACCTACAGCTGTTGTTGAAGTGGAAGCTACAATTGAAGAAACTGGAGTTGAACCCACTGTTGATGATAATCCATAGGAACCTGCAGTTGAAGTTGGAGTGGAGGCTACAGAGGATGAACTTGCAGTTGAAGTAGTGAAGGCTACAGAGGATGAACATGTTGATAATGCACAATTGGTGAAGAAAATGTGGTGGAGGACTTTTCAAGTGATGGAGAACCTATGGTGCCTCCTGTTGAACATGATGGGGACCCTGAATTTGAAGAATGACACTTAGAAGACTTTGGTGATCTAGAATATGAGCAGGAAAAAATGTAGCTAAAGATGATAGTAATGAAGATGCATTCTTCGGGTTGACTAAACCTCTTGATATTGGTGATGACAATATAGGGGATGAAAATCAAGGCAATGCAAGGGCTGCAGATGGTGATGGAATAGACTACGATGACCCAGATGACCTGAGAAGCATTCCAAGTGACAGTGAAGAAGGGGGTTCATCCTCAAGAGCTAGGAATGAGATTTAGTTTAACCTTGCAACTAACATGCAAGATCCAAAATTCTAGATAGGTAATGATCTTTTGTACTTTTTTCCTTCTTATTATGTAATAATGGTATACTACATAAAGACAATGAGGTATAATATTTAGTAAAAATGCAAGACAGATAAGATATGTGAAGAATGGAGGAACCAGGTTAAGGGTGAGGTGTGAGAATAACTGTCCATGGGAGTTATATGCCCACCAACAAGCACAGAAAAGTTTCAGGATTAACACCTTCAAGGTTGAATATACTTGCACAAAGGTGTGGCAGTGCTGTGTACTTGGCAAAGAAGTACATACATAAGTTTAGATCATATTCAAAATTGTCCATGAGTAGTTTCATTGAGACAGTGAAGGAGGACTACATGTATGAGATATCAAAGTATCAATTTCATAGGACGAGCAAAATGTTTAAAAGCTATTAATGGTCTTATAGCTGAGCAATACAGGATACTATGGGACTATGGTGAAGAACTAAAAAGAACAAATACTGGTAGCATAGTTCAAATTGAAGGTTCATCACCCACATTCAAAATATGTTACATAAGGATTTTGGCTACAATTGATATTGATGGAGAGAACTACATGTTCCTTGTTGTATGGGCTGGAGTGGATGCTAAAAACAAAAAAAAAAAAAAAATGGGAATAGTTTATAGAACTTTTGATTGTTGTCATTGGGATGTATAACAGCAGGACTTGGACCTTCATATTTGATAAATAGAAGGGTTTAGTAGACTTCATTAATAGTTTCTGTGAAGTAGCTGAGCATAGGTGTTGTGCAACACACCTGTACAATAACTTCACTTTGATGCATAGGGGCCTCACGTTAAAAAGTCTATTCTGGTCAGCAACTAGGTCAACAATTGTGCCATGAGAATATGCCATAACAAGAGAACATGCACAAATTTCATTGTCTACATATACAAGTTCCCAGCTAGGTTCACAAACATATACTCAGCAACAATCACAGCCAAAATCACAAAGCAAGAGAAAAGCATCTACATCCAATTAATCTCAGTTATAGGCAAAGAAGAAGAGCAAGAAAAAAAGAACTTATCTTTTAATGTTTCTATGTTATCTTAGACTGCTTTTGTGTTCTCTGATCTTTTGTAAGGAATTAATATCATTCTTGTAAATCGATGATCTTTTGACATTTTTTTTTGGCTAATATGAGCTTGGCATGTTCTTTTGATGATGTACATTTCAATTGAAGATGAAAAGAATGCTTGACGTTGCAATCCTTTATTTCATTGTAATACATTCGATTTATGTTATATATATTGGAAGTAAAATAGTTGTGGAAATGGTCGTACTTAAACCGAACACTGAGTAAAGTGTAACGACCCGGGTCCCATTTAATGGGTTGTCCCGACCGTTAGATTGACGACGTTCTGTCCCCACTGTACCAACATGGGTCTTTTCAACATACTTTATCCTCACTCACAAGCTCCCAAAAAAATTCATAGGGGGGTCACCCATTATAGAATTACTCCAAGCCAAGCACGTTTAACTGTAGAGTTTTTAACGATGGACTTCCGGAAAATAAGGTGCACCTTGTTGGGATGAGTAGTACCTATCAAATATTTTAAGTTTTCCTAGTCTGAGTATTACATAGGGGGTTTGTAACGGCGAAATTGTTCCACGACTGAGCTCGTGGTGTTGGAGTTAGTCTGTACATTCTGAGGAGGCGCTTGTGTTTGCTGCCTACCAAGATCTTGCACAGCTCTTAACAAATCCTTAAACATAGCAGCTTGTGTTGGTTGACGGGCTATTTCCTTTAAATCCACCAAATAAATTTCATCTTAGAAATAGTGAACATCCCAATATATTTGAATGAAAAACTCTGTTTCATAAAATTTTAAATCCAAGAATACATGAATTGTCCTCACTCGCACGCTCCCCGAGAAAACTTCCCAGGGGGTCACCCATCATAGAATTGCTCCAAGCCAAGCACGCTTAACTGTGGAGTTTCTAACGATGGACTTCCGGAAAAGAAGATGCACCTTGTTGGTATGAGTAGTATTTATCAATTCTTTTAAGCTTTCCTTATCTGGGTATTACAATCACCCCCCGTTAGACTCGCGACGTCCTCGTCGCGCTTGATCTATCTGAAGATCTGTTGCCAGGCATTGAGATTCTAGAGGTGGCTCCTACGGGTTCAAGAGGTAGCTCCCGCCCTATGGCGTAGCACTTTGTCCTGCATAACACTTAGTTCCCAATTTTCGGCTGGCAACCGGGCTCTGATACCATTTGTAACGACCCGGATCCCACTTAACGGGTTGTCCCGACTGTTAGATCGACGACGTACTCTCCCCACTGTACCAACATGAGTCTTTTCAGCATGCTTTATCCTCACTCGCACGCTCCCCAAAAAAACTTCACAGGGGGTCACCCATCATAGAATTGTTCCAAGCCAAACACGCTTAATTGTAGAGTTTCTAACGATGGACTTCCGAAAAAGAAGGTGCACATTGTTGGTATGAGTAGTACTTATCAAATTCTTTAAACTTTCCTGATCTGAATATTACATAAAGTACCTCAAATACAACTGAGTATGAGGTTTGGGACTACTGCTGCAAATGGTTTTAAAGGTTTGGGTTTTCTGTTCAACTATTTCGAAAGTTTTAGGACTTCTTATGCGACAACTGAAAAATGTTTGGGACTACCTCTTAGAATTATGTAATTGATTTGGGACAATTTCTACACCATCTTCGTAACGTTTTTCAAGCAAAATTTCCCTTTTATTTCTGAATCATTCATTGTCAACAAAGAAGAAGAATTAGAATAAATAAAACATTGAAGCAAACCTGAATAATAACATGATTTATTACTAGAAAATAAGTTACATGACAATAGACCACACGATTTGTCACTATGAGATCTACATCACAACATAGAAACACAACATCTTAGCTCAACCTAACCCAAATCTAGGTACAAACCCATTTTACAAAAACTCCACATACAAATCCAATTAGCCAAGTTTTCCATGCAATACTTCTTGTATGAATGGTGTTTATTTAATGTTTCATCTCCCTCCTAGCCCATAGAAGTCTAAGAATCAGCTCTTTCGATCTCTTACACATTGGGGGGTCAACCCAGTCGAAGAAATTACATTCACCGCATCCTGACGTTGTGGGCAGCTGATAAACCTTCTTCCTGGGTTAAAGTTCATCCATGAAGTCTTTGTTTCCACAGGGAACCCACATCTACGGACATTCATCTCCATCTCCTTTCTAAAAAGCATCTGACAGTTACTAGAGTAAGAAAGAATAAATATACCACAATGTGAAGGAAAATGTACAATGATTTGAACAATGTCAAATGAGAAATATTGATTGGACAAAATTGCCACTCCTTAAAAAGATTAATATACCTGATTTATTAATTTTTCAGGTCAACTGACTGTGTTTTGGACAGTTTCCATCCAAAGGACCCCATATGTGTATTTATGAAAGTTTAGGGACCTTCATTGGCACAAAATGAAGGTTGAGATAAAGTCTGCAAAAAATGAAAATGTTAGGAACCGCTGCTGCAATTTTCTCAAAATATTTTCTTTTCAGCTCACCTTGCTGACAGTAAGGCCATGTTTGATTTGTAAAGTTTTCTAGGGAAGTAGGAAAATCTTTTTCCTTTTCCAACTTTATCCCTGTTTGATGTGCAATATTTTCCAGGCAACTTCTTTTCCTACTTCTAACTCATGCGCCACATTTTCTTACTTTCCAATGAATTTGTTTTCCGAAGGTTGTGCTGGTTTTTTGTTTTCCAACTTTCTTTCTTTCTTTTTTTTTTTTTTTTGAAATTTTTTTTGACAATGAAAACAAATTTAATGGACAATTGTAAAAAAGAATTTTCCTTTAATGGACAATTTTCATGAAAAATGAAGCCAAACGAATGATATTCGGTAAGTTAAATTTTTTTTTTTCTTTTTTGCAATTGGAACAAATTCTAAACTCAATGCTAAAAAAATTTATCACTTTAATGGACATTTTTCATTAAAAAAAAATCCAAACGGATACTAAACTTTCAACATTTTTCAAGTGGAAAATTAGACCAATCAAATACAATTAATTACAATTCCCAATAAAACAAATTCTAGTCAATTCAATTCCCAGTAAAATATTTTCTTTCCACCCATTTTTCACTTTCGCAATCAAACGGACCCTAAAAGTAACTTTCTCATTCTGCTTTTTCGATAGAAAAAAATAAAATCAATTCAGCCATCACTGGTGCCATACTGCAATATTCTTTTCAGAAATAGCCCTTTTAATATCATGTCGACTCGTAGCACAATCAACTTTATAACGAGTAAAGGACAATTAGGAAATGTTTGACTACAACAATTCGCACATTGGGAACCTTGGTCTAAAGCAAAGCGAACAAGATAAAGAATTGAACTAATAGAAAAGGTTTCAACAATGATAATTACACATGCAAAGAATACATGAGTACAAATGAATCAAGTCTTTTACAAAGAAAAAATCATTTCAAGTAGGTGAAGCGAGTGTTGTGGAATCAGCTGAGGAAGGAATTGCAGGGCCTAATCGGCAGCCTTCAGAATATGTTTACTCTACCAACGCTTCGTTTTTCTGACTCAACTATGTCGTACGTTAACTTGGCGGTTGCCATAGTGGCCCACACCAGAAAAATACTAGCCTTTGACATTAGAAAAAATAAAGTCGGCGAAATTAATTAAATCGAATTATATGGTGGCGAAGTTTTGCGAGTGTAGATTAGCAGAAGAGGAGAGGGAAGTGAAAGAACCCGAACCCGAGTCCGACCTACTGCATATGAGTCCAGTACAGTTGAGTCCAGTCGATGAGTGCTTTTTGTAAGTGTCTGCATTTTTTTTTTTAAATAATAGTATTACTTTTATTCATATAGAATTCATGGCTCTGTTTAGATGAATCCATTAATTGTATTAATTTAAATTAATTCTCTTCTCCAAAAACATATCCTATTCAATTACAAGATTATGTTTTTGAAACATCATACACTAGTTTAAATTATAAGACTCCTACCAATTTCCCACCCTTTTAAAGTTTACTTCACGTCTGACTCGTACTTCACTGCTTTCTCAGGAAGCTTTATATCATGGAAGGAAAGCTGTGTCTCCAACTGTAGGACTTGAGATTCATTGGATTTAGAGAGAAGCTAAGTCCAAACATTTCTTTTGGGACGTGGTTTCCGTCCTTGAATCCTACTAATTTTGCTACAATAGCAGCACTCTCGTTTATATGCTCCATATTTTTTGCATCCGTCCACAGCAGGTGGCATAGTTGATGCCTTCTGTGCTTTGATTTTAGGCTAATGCCCCATTTTTGGAATAGAACTTCTCTCTCCTTTGTTGAATATTTCTTTAGCATCTGCTTGCTAAGCATCTCTCTCTCCCGGTTCAGAGCTCTGCAGTTGTTTTCATTTCAAATGTCAAATCAAAGTTAAATTCTGGAATCGGGGTGTACTGAGAATGAGAAGAGAGCACCTTGAGGACTTTGCGGAAACTTGACCGGTAGATAATTTATTCTTGAGAAATGACAACCGTCTAAGCTCGACCTCCATGTAAACAGCATCTGATGGATCTCCTTTAAAGAGCAGCAAGAAGTAAGTTCTATGAACTAATGGGGTGTCGCAAGCATCCCAAAGTCCAATTATATCTCTCTTTTGTCTCTCGAATTCTGTACTCCAATCAGAAGTAGGTTTCTGTATATCCTGATCTTTTTTGGAGCCGTCATCTGTAGGTTTTTCTGGTTCTTTGGAAGTTTTTTCATCCTCAAGATCCTGCCATAGAAAATTTCTTATAAGAACTCGTAGTAATGCTAAGAAAAGGTGTTTCTCTCCATAAACCAACATTCTATTCATGCCAAAGACGTCACTGCAATGCGTTTACTACTAATTACCATGAAAATCCATGTCAAAATTGCTATATGAAAAGTTACTTAGATCAAATTCAGGAAAAAAAAAAAAACTAATGCAAGTAAGGATAGGATAAACTTAGGAACTAGAATCTTCGCATGCCTTAACGACAGTGTAAAGATATCCAGAATAAAATGAAAGATAACACACAAATGTTCGAGACTTACCAAATAAAATCAGCTAAAATACAATCTAAAAAGAGGGAGTTAAAATTAGCCGCAGTTACAAAAGCTATGTTTTCCAATTTGGTAGCGAGAAGCACCCTCCTCAACCAATATCGTTATAGTCCCTAGTTATTAGTTATCAATTCTAGGTCCATCCAAAGAGAACAAAATTGAAGCAACTAAATTTGAAGTGATGAATTTTAGTGAGACAAACATAAAAAATTTAACAGTCAATGGAAACAAATGGGGGTATGCATGTTCATACTCACCAAATTATCCACAAATTGCGTCTGAGACTTAGGCTCGATCATTTCATCCGGTCCCGTCTCACAGGTTTGTTTATAGGCTATACAGTCTTCAACCAGTATCCTGATGATTTCTTCCTTCGCATTCATAAAGTCAGCAGTGATTGAACTTTCCAAATCTTTTCTGCATAGATCTTCGTCATTAGTTGGCTCTATTTTAGAAAGCTTTCCTTGATTATCATCCTGTCTTTCTGGAGATTCTTTCTCAAATTCATCTGGTAACATGCTTTCATTTTCTTTTGTGAACTCAGAACTGGGAGATTTTTGCATTGACATTGGGAGTGCTGTACAACTTTTGCTCCTTGGTACATCAGCACTTCCCTGATCAGATATTTCTTCGTCAGATGAACAAGGAGATTGTCCTGAATAGTAAATTCAACAAGACAATCAATACACATCTGCAAGTCCTAAATAATTTGCTTCAAAGTTTCACAAAATGAACTAGTATAACCTGAATCTTGTTCTCCTATAAATGTGGATAGCAGTGTGCTTGCTATCGTATTTCTCTTGGAGACATCAATTTCAATACATTGAACTTCCTTGCAGTTATCTTCGTAATTCTTATTAGTTTCTTGAGCAATCTTCTCCCAGCCTTTACATGGATCAGGACCAAAATATTTATCAATATATAATCTCGGGGAGGTGTCATCTGACAGAAATTGCATTTCAGAATTCTCGAAGAACGGTTCTTCAAGCTTGTTTGAGTTGAGGCCTTCCCATCGATCAGAGAAATGAGATGTCATGGATGCAACATCAGAACGAGTAGTATCAATTATCTCTGATGCTTCGGATGCTGAATATTCATCTGCCGAAGAACGTTTCTCATAGTTATCACCCTGAGAGGAAAATATGAGAACGTCAATTAAGTGTAGATCAACTTTTCGGGTTAAAATCTTATCTTAAGAAAATCTTTACAAACCCATGGTTTTGGAATTTGATATTCTCCCCCAGTATGTAACAGATCCTCGGCACGAGAGCGAGCCAGGTCACGCTGTTGAGTTAATTCTCTCATCTCTTTATCCATCTACAAAATTTGAGAGAGGAAAAGAAAAGGACTGTTAGTCGACTATGTAACTGTGTGTACACTTTTACTCTGCTATATCACACACAAATACACCCATTATTTCCATGAACATAACCTTCAATCTACTTTATGACTTGTCTGTCTGTATAGTTTTCACACTACCACTAACCACTGTCTAAATCTGTTTAGTTTTTCACTATTCGAACTGTTTCAAATATATCAGCAACAGATTTGAATAATATGCATTTGAAAATAATTGATTCATGGATTACAAAATTCGACCCTTTTTATTCACCTTTTCGATAAGCATTTCTTTCTCTTTCAGTGCTGATGCAGAATCGCCTGAGGCAGCAAGTGATCTTAAACTTTTCAACTCGTTCTCCAGTCTTGCTAGTTCTTTCTGTAACTGCTTGACTAATGCTTTCTCCGACATTACGACATTCACACGTGCATTAGTATTGACTTGCTTTGCACAACTAGCAAACAAGAGTGTGTTTCTTGACTTCTCGACATGACTGTGAGCAGGGCTCATGGTGCAAATGATGGCAGTCCTAGCATTGCCTCCCAAACAGTTCTGTAGTATGCGGGTTAGCTTGGAGTCTCTGTATGGTATGTGCCCATTTCTTCCTTTGCTGCATTAAAATTTGATGTTAAGATTTAGTGTGAGAAATACTATAAAATGAGAAATAGCTGCATGCAAATAAGGAAGACAGCCATTTTCCACAATTCTTTGATTTGATTATTGTTTGGAAAGTTTCTATGGGGAAACAAATGAATCTATAAATACTTTGCCTTTTTAGCCTCTGGATAAGTTCTAAAATTTTCTGACAATCTAAAGATGCAGAAATTAATTTGCAGAAATTAATTTGAACTGCTGACAAATAATGTTTAACACAATATTGAAGAAAAATTAGAAAGCAATGGAAACGAACCTTAATTTGCGAATAACTGTCCCGAGGGTTAGCAAACTGCGATTTATGTGACAACCTTCTTTTAGTCTTGTGCCAGCTGATAATGTCTGAGAAGCACATTCACTTCCGGCAAGATCAATAAAACTCTGTCCAAAATCCATGAAATAATTTATGTTTTCTTTCGTCATGTAAGTTTATTAGTCCATTTTTGGACAAATATTCATCAGTATTTCAAAAGGAGAATTTTTCATACCACTGAAGCTGTTAGTGCACTTGAATTTGCAGCGCCTAAATATTCCCGAGCAGAACTTTCAACAGTCTGCAGGAACATCCATTGTATAGCAAAGTTAATACATAGTATAATCAGTTCCCACAACACGTTTGGTACAGAATATTAGATAGGATTGGACATTATTAAGGAACATAGTGAACTTAAAATATTCTACTGACCAGTTGTTTTCCATTAGTGCATAGAAAACATATAAGTAGTGTTTATCAAAAACCTGTTTTAAACTAAGAAACTTACCAAGCGTAGAATTTGGTGAGATCTTGAGCTCGTTTCATTAAGAGTGGTCTCTCCTATTTGTCTTTGAGCTTCAGGAATGATATACTAAGTTAGATTCAAAAGTGTCATCATGTATGTACAGGACTGACATGTTCGGTCCATGATTCCAGTTTTATCGAGTTGAACCTAACAAACATGCCTATTATAAATGCTCTCACCTTCACAAACTGCGAGGAGCTCCCTTAGATGGTCTGAGCCCCTTAAAGTCACCTCTGAAAGTTTCTCAATCATAGTCCCTCTCTGTTGTAGAATCAAAATTATAGCCACTAATCTATAGCTAATCTAATTAAAAGATTGAAAAGCTTCCAACTTTATACCTCTGGATCATCAAGAAGTCTGAGTGGAGCACTATCTGTGCTGAGAAGGTCTCTTACTGATTCATTATAAATCTCCATGGCAGAGAATTTCAACACAAATTCTCTTTCACAGTGCTACAATCATGAAGTTTACATGTTAGAAAACTAGAGAAAATCAAATCATGATTCCATTTTACACGTACCTTGTCTATATAGTCATATATATCTACAATTGCGCATTCTGTAACACCAGACATGGTGTATGTCTTTCCACTGCTCGTCTGACCATATGCAAAAATACTTGCTGCAGAGAATAATAAGCATTGATTGTTAAGCTTGTGTCTTAGTGTCAGTATTATAGTACATCAGGGAAGAGTCATTCAAAGGACAGACGGTACTTACAATTGATACCACTTAGAACAGAAAGTGCAACCTTTTTTGCTGCTTCATCATACACCTGTTTAGTGGGACGGTCACACCCGAATACTCTATCTGTTGTTGACAAAAATGGGGAAATAGAGAGGATATGGTGAATGAATTCATAAGAATAAATACAAAAGTATGAGATTACAGTTAATCATTACCAAAAGTATAGGCAGCTGGAAGCAGTGTACGCTCTTGTAGGCTATTCTTGAATATAATAGTCGTATTGTTGATGCATTCCCAATCTGAAACCTCATTGCTCGCCAATTCTCTCTCATTCAGAGGCCTCAATCTGACCGAAACAAAGATTTTCTCTTCATGTGCATTTGAATCATCCAATTCTGATCCTGCGGCACTATCCCCACTAATTGACCCCATTATGTTCGGCTAGCTTAACGAACCAAGGTCTCGACTGGATGTAGGACGTGCTGGTATCTATCCTCTTGTTCTGAGCCTTACACCTCCCTTATCGACGGAACAGGACCACTCTCTTAGTTTTTTTTTGGCACCCAAATGCACTTGAAGAGAATCTACAAGCTATCAGAAATCTTTTTATGTTCCCTCTCTTTGTGATTAAAGAGAGGGAAAAACTTCCTCCTCGTGGTGAATTTCTTTATATGCCAATGGTTTAATGAAAGCCCATGCAGGCCTTCTTTATCTGCAACAAATAACATTCTTTACATGCCAATGATTTAACATCACTTCATAAGATAAGAAATTTTATCTTCATTTTCTTTCTTTCTCTAGTCGAACGTTCCAAATGCGTTATTAGTCTTCCATCGATAACAAAAACATGATTGGTTGTGTAAATGCAGAAATACATGCACATGCCATGAATCAATACTATCATAACTCTAAAAGAAAATTCAGCATGCAAAAGAAAATCTTGAATTTAACATGCAGATTCAATGACAAAACTATGCAATTGATCCTGGAAAACATGCAAATTGAAACCCCAGATCTCAGATTGAGATTGCGTGAAATCTGAAGCTTCAAATATACAAAAGAGGCAACTTAAATCAGTATTGAAAAGATGTGCAAATTGATTCACCTTATTAAGAACTCGCGTATTGTATCGAGGAAAACCCACAAAGAATAATATTTCTAAGGAGAGTGAGAAAGCAATAGAGAGGGAGGAGGTTTATGTTTATGGTTATGCATGGAAGAGAGAAATTAAGGGCAAAAGCTAAAATCATGGCAAACCCTCCCTTTGCTTCAAGAATCTACCTATTTGAAAATTGTCCACTCTTTTCCCTACAAACAGGGAGCAAACATCTTTTATGATTCTTGTTTAATCTAAAAAAAACATCTGTAATCTGTTTAAAATTAATTAATTTGAATGGGAATGAACAAACATTTTTAAAATGATTTATGCAAGAATAAAACAAATGAGAGACCTTGATTAGTTGATAATGACTGACGACATTAGAATGTAAGGAAAATAGCAACATCATCTTCAAACTTTAGTTTCATTTGCAATTTCATCCCTAACCGTTTTTTCCTGGCTACTTCGTCCCCAAACCTTTGGAAAATAGACAGCATTATAAATGGATGAAATTTAGCCATTTTTCCATTAGTCAACCAACAAATTCAAAAATTAAAAAGAGCAAAATAATCCTTCCATTATTTCTATTGGTAACTTTTTAAATAAATTTGAAATAAAAAAATAGTGATCGAGTAGGCCGTTCTCTTCAATGCAGAGCTGTGCGATTGCGTATTGTACTTGGAGGTTCATAGATTTGCTGAGGTTCAATGCAAAACTATCTAAGAATCAATAGTGATCATATGTGAACCCGATGAGTCAAGAATCGGCTGGTTTTACGTATAGAGTAAAATATGCGTGTTGATATGATTTAAAAGTTGTACAATGACAGTAACTTCAAAATACTATCTTCAGCAAACAGCAACCACATTCTACTTTGGAGCAAGTCTACATGAAAATGTAAATTACCAATTAAAAACTGTGTTGCTAAACCAAAAACCCTCCCACAAATTTCTAGACAACTTTCGGTCAGTTTTATCACGCTTGAAGGATAGCTCCTCAAAAGAGCAGCTTCTACATGCTAATCTCAGACAGAAAACCGATAAATACTTCTGCTGAAACAAGACTGTCGTAACCATGGTGACAGAAGTCGAAGGCAAAACATCATATTGTCTTGACAACAGCTGCAAGCACGTTACCTGAGGATAATATAGAAAAGAATGAGCATGAATACTAAAAGAAAGATATCAGAGGGATCCCAAACCTGATATAAATGTACACTTGGATCCCCAACCAATTTTTCTTAGCATTTGGGTCCTAACTGACAATTTCTAACTTCAACATTTAAAAGGTTACATGACGTCGAATGCACGTGGAACATTGCTTGAGAGGTAAAATGGTTAAAATAAAAAAGCTTATTTCAATGGAAAAAATAGATAGAAAAAAAAAAAAGGCAACCCTCCACATCCTGCTGGCCCCCCTCTGGTTCCAACCACCCACTCTTTTCATACCACTAGGGATTCTTGATGTCTCTCTGCTCTCCACCCTCAAATTGGAAGGCAATTTGTGGGTAAGAGAAATTTGTTTTTTTATTTTATTTTCTCCTTTCCTCTTTTTGTCTGTATCTTTTTTTGTTTTACTTGAAAATCAGGGTATGATTCTCTTTTTAACTAAAATCTCTTGACTATCACAATATAAGTCGTTTTTTGTTTTCAATTATGGATAAGCTTACAAAGTCGTTTTTGCTTTAATTGCAAAAAAGCATAGGAGAGATGTATAAATGGAGGTGTAAATGGAGGTCTCTTAGTTCATGTCTTATAATTGTCACTTACTTATAATGGACAAAGCTGATGAGAATAAATTAGTAGTTCGAGACAAGAAAAATTACCAAAGACTAATTTGATTGAATGGGATCACATAATAGCACAATGGTTATCAAACTATAATTCTCAATGGGCAAGAATACGTAGAGCAAATAAAAATATTTTTCGACATTCATTTGTTAGGAGAAAAAAGATATCCAGCCAGTCACCTTATGTTAATTTAGTCACAGCCCAAAGCCGTACAGATTGAATCATAAACAAAAGTATATTGAAACAAATACCTAATGCATCACAAAAAGCAATTCTAATTCAGAAATTGAATTGCACGATATACTTACATAAGATGAATAGATGATGGACCAGTAAAAGCTGCAACTTTTTGAGCACGCTGGCCCTCAGACCTGTAGAGCCCCTTCATATTTTTTTTCATTTGCCGCGCCTCAAGTCGTTCTGCTTTCACAGCACTCTGCAAAAGAGTAGTCCACATATCGTCATAATTTATGGCTTATACATGGACTGGCAGAGATCATCCTTAAAGAGATGAAAAATGGAAATAAGCCCCCACCTTTCCACCTTCCGTCAAGAGAGAGGAGGAAGAGAAGAAAAAGAAAAGACACACAAGCATTCAACAGCTCAAAAAATAAAACAAACATTTTTTCAACAAGGGAGAAGGATGTCTTTTTTAGATTTCTGGTTCATGATGACCATCACAAGAAAAAAGAAGTTACAGAAGGAAAAGTGGGAATAGGATAGTGCAAAAATAATCCAAACATGGTCCAACTGTACCAAACATTCAATATTTATTAGCAGACATGTAAAATAGTATGAAAAAAGAAACATCATTTTGCACCTTTCTCTCTTTCTTTTCCTCCTTATTCTCTAGACTGCGTGGTTTCCTCTTCTGCTGTTCTGTTCTTGAATTATTTGGATCTTTATTATCTTTCACCTTTTCTGCATCATGCTTCTCTCTTTGGGGTAAAAAGCACACAGGAAGCTTTTCTCTACCCTTTAGAACTATCATTTGGCTGACAGCACTTCGAGCTCCAGATATGGTTTCTGCTAATTTCTTCTCCTTCCTCCTTCCTCCGGGAGCAGCAATTTTAGCAGGGTGGTTGTCAAGATTTGAATACGTAGAAACAATTGTTTCACAGTCCCATATTTCTGATTCCCCGCTACTTTCCTCCACAAGCACTGCCTCTTGATCCAGGTTCTCATTTTCATAGTTTACAGCATATTCCTTGCACCGGCGGATCACGTCTGCAGCAGCCTGTGGAGATTCAATATCTTCTGCTTCCTCAAGAGCCAAACCTTCTATAGGACGATCTCTAAAGGCATGACCGATCTTTTCTGCAAGGGATTCTTGACATTCATTTTCTTCATCAGTGTAACCACTGTATTCTTCTTCACAGTCAATGCCATATTCCTGAAGTTCTAGCTGCAAGAATAACATTGTGAAAGAGACTCAGAAGTTATTTATCGAATGGAAAAATACCAACAGTAAAATGAGAATGAGCTGCAGACTCGAATTAATAGATTGAGGATGTTAGCAATTAGATCAAGACTAGGGCGTCGTTTAGCTGCCTATGTAGTAGAAAACTCTGAATTTGAAGTTGAATAGGCATAGTGAGTTCATCACAGTGGTACAAGCAGAGGATGCATGCGCCGTGGGAAGAATTATTTGACTAATAATCAACAATAGTCAAAAGAAAATAAAAACTTACCAAGTCAAATTGCTCATCTAAAAGACGACGAGCTCTAGGCTTCTCACCACCCAAGCCTGAAAATTCAGCCTCATTTTCTGGTGCACCAGATGCACGCAAATCACCACTTCCTGTATGGCCAACCTTGGACACTTCTACCAAACTCAACTGCTTATCGAGTTGTATATCAAGTGGACCTTCCACGAAATTTGCTCTCATGACGAAATCCTCTTCCAGGTCCTCCTCGTCGGATCCAAATTTTGATGAATCACTGTCATCCAGCATTGCAGCCACTTCAGGATCCACCACTTTCTGTAATCTTGCCCCAACAGTCCTTGATGCAACATTATACAGTAACTTCTCATCTGAATCATCATTCACCCTAGAAACTTCCACTCTTGAAGCATCATAGGCCTACCAGAATAATGTATAGATTTACAATGAAATCTAAAATTAAATTAAAAAGTCTAAGCAATTTCAAATACATAATTATTGCCCATTTAATCATCACTGATATAACGACTTTCCATCCCACATGGGAAGGAAATGAACAACTAATTCTAATGTCAATATTCACTCCGTATTTATTTCAGAGCCCTCGCATTTCAAATAAATAATGCAAGAACAAGAAGCTCGTTCAAACTAATTTTTTTTCAACAAAAAGCAATACTGAATTACTGATTAATAAATTAAGCTAGGTCAAAAGGCAAAACTGAATAATAAATTAGCTAATTTTGCCACATTGCTGTTTAATACAATATTCACTTAATATCAAGAATTATCAAAACAATAAAATAATCAGACCTTAACATCCCGCGGAAGCTCATTGAGATTAGCTTTCGGATTATGATAATAGGAAGAACCACCGCCGGTATTTTTAATCTCCCGCATGTGTAGCAAGTAATTGTACCCATCATCCGGAAATCCTAGCTCCAGAATCTCCCTCCTCACGTGGTCCGGTAACCCCGTAGTCCTTTCATCTCTGTAGTCACCTAATCCTCCAGTGACACGGTTTCCAGCCTCACCATCATAATCTTCAGGTGCATTGGCAAAAATCGAATTCGGGTCGCCCGTTAAAACACAGCCGTTCTGCTCTTCCTCGTTGAGGAAGGTATTGGGTGTGTAGGGATTGTTGTCGACCCGGACGAAGACCCGATCGCCAGAGGGCCCAGATGAGTAGTTCGGGTCAGATGTGTCTCGTGCCATGAGCTGGAACGTGGCAGATTTTTTCTTGTCAAAGAATTTCTTTGTCTTCCCCATTATGTGGGTGATTACTTCTTGTTGACCGTAGAAAAGGTGCGAGTGTAAAATTAATATACAGAGGGAGGATTATGTAGTGATTGCAATACGCAGGAGATCCTAAAATTTGAGTTGCTGAGGAGGTGCGGTGGCGCAGGGTTGAAGACTGGAACTGGAACTCGGGCTTTGGGAGGTTCGATGCAAGAATTAACCCCGCTTTGACGGACATTATTTAAAAAATCTTTTATTCCACGTACTCATTTGTATAATAAAATATAGGTTAATTAGCATGTAACGTTCTCACAAAATGTTCATACTTTTTATTGTCTGGTATTTTCACCCTTATTTTTATCTTTCATTGTGTAAAAGATCATTTTCACATATTTTCTCAATTAAAAATTATGAAATGACCAATATATCTTTCTCTTTAAATAAAAGAAANAACAAAAAGAAACAGAAAAAATTAATTTAATCACAATCCCAATTTTTTTAAAAAGCGCAAATAAGTAAAATAAATTATTAAAATGGTAATTAATACATAATGTTCATACCTTTCACTTTTTTTTTTTTTTGGCACTTTCACTTTTAATTATACATTTGATTGCGCAAACCATCATTTCTATCCAATTTCAACCAATTTCTCAATAAAAATTTATGAAATGACTAATTTATCCTCATATGCAAATAATAAAAAATTAAATTCTAATTCTTTAATAACTCATTTGGGACTTATTTGCGTTTTTAAATTTTTTTTAAATTTTTTAATAAATTTAATTAGGACTCGTTTATACTTTTTGTTAAAAAAAATTAATAATTTATTGGGGACTTGTTTGCACTTTTAAAAAAAAATGAGGATTATGATTACAATTAATTCTTTAGCTTTTTATTTAAATAGTAAGGTATTTTCATTATTTTACAGCTTTTTATTAAGAAATTGGATGAAAATGAATAGAAATAATAGTTTGCACAATCAAATGTGTAATTAATGATGAAAATGCCAAAAAAAAGAAAGGTAATGACATTTTTCGTAATAACGGTGAAAGATATAAACATTATGTACTAATTACTCTTTTAATAATTTATTTGTGCTTTTTAAAAAAAATTGAGACTGTAGTTGCAATTAATTTTTTTTCTTTTTCTTTTTGTTTTATTTAAAGAGAGGGGTATATTGGTCATTTCATTATTTTTAATTGAGAAAATATGTGAAAATGACATTTTACTCAATGAAATGTAAAAATAAGGATGAAAATGTCAAAAAATGAAATATATAAACGTTTTTCACAATAACAATGAAATGTGGAGACGCTATATGCTAATTATTTTAAAATATATTATATGTAAATTCAAACTATTTCTCTACTTTTTAATCATTAATTCTCTTAAAAACGATTATTCAAAATATTATTTTTTAGAGAGGATGAAGCAAGATTCCAAACCTATAAATCATAAAGTTATATCCCAATTTATTTAGCGCGTGTTTGGACGTCATTCTTATCATATTTTAATTTAAAAAATTCGAATTTGTAGCCAGACCAACATATTTGACGATCTCGCAATCAGATGTCATTTTTCTATATGTAAATCTTCAAAATGCCCACACTTTAATAGATTGAATGCTACAATTAGATGTAAATCTTCAAAATGCCCCCACTTTAATAGATTGAATGCTACAATTACGGAGCAAAATAATCTTTTCTTCAAAAAAATTTATCGATTTGTGAGAAAGCAGTCAACAAAGTCTACAATCCATGTACCCTTCACTGTATAATGTTCACATTTTTCATTATAATTCGGTAAAAAATGCCTCCCAAACAGAGGAATAAATATCCGGTTTTCATATATATATATATATATCAGTTAGTTGATCAAAAGTCAAAGGTCCGACTTAATTTGATCAATTTAATGGAGGATAAAGTTGTTTGTTAACATTAATTAATTGAAATAAAGAGGAGTAGGAAACAAGAATAATTAAAAAAAGAAAAAGGAAAAACAATGATGCTACATGTATATCTTATTTTACATCATTTTTTACATAGTGTCACGTGTCGATATATGATTGGATAAAAAATTTTTAAAACAAAAACAAACTTTTCGATCCACCACTTTTTGTATTCCCACGCAATGTTAAAAAAGGTGTACACGTAACCTAATTCATAAAGAAAACAACCACATTCACCTTTTCCACCGTCATCATCTACACCCCCAAACCTCTTGGCACCCCACCACAATTCCTCTCATGTGGACGAAGCCAAATTGTCCAGTGATAACAATACACTTTTGATTTCGATCCAAACCCGAGTTCCGACGCCAGTAGCCTCGCACTTAACAATTCATTTATTGTGGCAACAGTCACGACAACGTTGAAGTTGAGGCCACTGTCAAGGGAAAGACCTTTCTCAGGGCAAAGGCAAACAGAATGAACACTAAGCGTCGTCATAACAACAATGGTTGTAATAATTGCACGGTTCAAAACTCGCTAGTTTCTTACTCTGAAAATATGTCCAAACAGTTTACTAGAAGGTATATGAATCTGCTGCAGTCGTTTTATCGTCATAATCTAATGATGTATTAAGTGGCGGATCTAGGAATTTGAGTGGGTTAAGACAGATTCAGGCGATGGGCGGGTGATGGCTCTGCCGGTGGATGTATTCAAGTATGAAAACCCATCACCAGCTACGAATTCCAAGTATAGAACATTTGCCACTGCATGTTTGGTACAAAATATTAGACAATATTAGATAATACAATAACATTAACAAAGTTTAAACTCCTTTTGACTACATCAATACCGTTGAGGTGCTATTTAATCCGTTTTAGGGAGGTAATTATTCACAATTATTCCAGGCATATTTCTAATACCATAGAGTTTTACCATCACTCGGAAGGGTCCGAGTTCTGTCATTGCACCACCTGCTAAGGATGAGCACCCTGGCCCTGCAATCCCAAGTACGGCATAGTGAGATTGTGAAAACAAAATATTAAAGATTAAGCCCTTATCCCTAGTGTCAAGAGCAATTAAAGATGCAAAAGCAATCAAAAAAACAAAAACAAGCAAAGCACGCAGAGATTTATAGTGGTTTATGCCACTGCAAGTTTGTCTTATACCTCTCTTGCGCACGGAAATGGCCTCGTAATAAAATGGGTTATTCTTAGGAGAGGTACTTGATCTTTCATTTCAAATTATTTTTCACACACATACACAACTTATCGAATCAGTTCTTAACCACTTGATGTCGCTTTCGTGTATCTCATCAAAGGTTGTGCATCCATATCAAGTCGGCTCTCATGTAGGTAGAGTTGACTTTATCAATTGATGAATATGTAGTCGTCCGGAAGGTGCCGTGCTATTTTATCTAACTTTCTCTTCCGTGGTATACATGTCCTTGACAACTCTCCTTTTAAACGTGATATTTTTTTCGCCATGGTAGTAAGGTTCAATTCAAACTCAAAATTCCACTAGATAAAAGACAAAGTTAGATTCAATTAAAAAAACAAGACACCGTCCACTTTTTTGAATTATTGTGCTTAGTCCAGCTAGTATGAACGAAGAAATGGACCGACCATCCGTATTCTGAAATGAACCTAAGGAAATGTCGTAAACTATGCTGTGTTTTCTGTCATAATAAGGACACCCCCTTAGTCTTCGTTTACCAAAAAAAGATTCAATATTGATTTGTCAATGAAATTAATGATGGACACCTTTTAAACAAAATGACAAAACCCTACTTTTTTTCCCCAACAAGCCCGAGCAAGTTTGAGGTAGAAAAAAAGAGCACTATTTTCTGCTATTCTCAATTATGGCAACTCTTATTTGTTGAACGTTGTCAATGTTGACGTTTGTTCACTATCGACGAATTTTACTGAAATTCATCATGGATGGACGATTCCACGTTATGTGCCTATAGTCGAGTCACATTAGACATGAACTATGTCTACGTGGAGAAAATTGACAAAAGAAAAGGACTCAGTACAAAATTTCTGCATCTAAGCATGTGAGAAATGGCTCTTATGTAACGTTAATAGTCATAACTGTTGACTACTCGACAATTCATGGCATTTTTTCTTTATCAAATTGATTGAAGCTGATATAGGTTAAACAATCAGTTGTACAAAAAGTTGGCCAAAACTTGTAGAATTTTCCATTAAGATTCATGGATGATAAAGACTAGAGAACCCCACAATTATAAATTAATCATATTCTCTGTACTGAAATCCTATGTTTTTCCAAATTCAGGTCTCATCTTCTTATTTTGCCCAGACTGCCTCTGCATATCCATGTTAGCTGAGCAGCGTCTTACAACTTTGGAGTACTCTCGATGCATGTTCGAGAGAAATGCTACATGTACAGATTGTTTGACAAATTGCTAGCTGGCAAGCATTCATTGGATGTTGGACACTAAACAAAGTTAATCCTCATCTGTAATGCTTTCTTTAATTTCTATCTGTACAAACAACTTTATTCCATTTTCGTTGCACACATGCAGTATACGACAGACATGATTATAACTTCTTTTCTTTATGTAAATTTTTTAGTTTTATGTAGTCTAGCATGCCATACATGAAAGGCTCCAAACCGAATTCTAATGCCTGATCTACACTTATCACCAATTGCGATCAAGAAATCCCAAATTAAATTAAAATTAGATCAAAAAATTTATGACATTTTTGGGCTGGATATAAACAGACCTATCCAATTTTGCCAGTGTGAACTTGTTCAAGGATAAAGGTCTCAGACATTTCTCCTATATGATATTCTGATTTCTACCTATTCCAGTAAAACCAAAATAATTGTGCCTTTCTAACTGTCATTCCTCGGTTTCAAATCGAACACTAATGTTTTTTTCTGTAACCAGAGGATTTTCTTGAATGTACTATGAAATTATAATATGATCTTAGGTTGTCTGCACCGAATTATGAATAAACTGCATAACAAACATGACCAAATTTATTTGATGGTTCCGTCCATGGAATTCAAAACTAAATATTTACAGACAAAAATATCCGTGCATGCATCAAGTACATGGACAGACAGTAAAAGTCTGACTGAAACAAGATTTTGTAGGGAACTTGGAGCACACTAAGGGGTAAAAAAAAAAGATCAAATTACAGCAATGAAATAAAAAAGAAAAGAAACTCCATAAAACCATGAAAAAGTAGGAAACCAGATCAGTAAATTGTGGATAAGAGTCCTGAAAAAGGATAACATTTTTTTTATTGGGACTACCAAAAAGTTCTTGATCTCTTTGAGGCAGTGGTAGGTGGATTGATCTGTGGAACAGCAAATGAATTGTCTTCACTACTCCATTTTCTGCTGGATTTGATGTTTGATATTTCTTTGAACTCCTTTAATCCATCTGGTGCCCCAAATGCTGTGTTTAAAGTTGGATATGATTGAATTTGTGTTGGATAATATAAAGGAGGAGGGGCTTGAGGGACCCAAAACCCCATGTTTTCTGGGGAAAAAGAACTCAGATTGCTCCCAAGATCAGCATTCAAGAAAGACAAGACATCGTTTTCTGTAGTCTACAATTTGATCAAACAGAATAAAACTCGGATTAATGAGAAAAAAAAACAATTTAAATTTCAGCATATGGAATTGATGGATGTAAAAGATTTTTGTAATTATGCAAACCTTAAAGAAACCAGTAGAAGAAGAATCAAGTAAGTCTTCAACATGCCACCCTGGAAGTGTATCTATTAAATATTCTGATATGCTACTTGTAGAACCATTGTTTTCTCCATTTATCAGTTGAATATTTCCACCACTTTTGTCATATGTCGGCGGCGGCGGCGGCGCCATCACTGAAGTGGTCTTTGCAGTGAAAGGTGGTGGATTGGTAGGGGTTTCAGAAACAGAAGAAGAAACAGAAACAGGCATATGTAGTGAAGTGTGGGACTGAATGTTGGGAACAGAATCTGAAACATTTTTTGAAGGGGATTCTGTTGATGTTGAAGATGATGATGAAGAATGAAGAGCAGAAGTTGCAGAAAGCTTTATACCAGTGAGAAGAAATCTATTATGCTTTTGAGTGTGTTCATTTGCTTTGTGTATTGGAATATCACACTCTTTGCATAGAATTGCTCTATCTTGTTGACAGAACAAGATGGCCCTCTTCTCCTATAAATCAAAAACAAAATCAAGGAAGTGGAAAACTCCAAATAAACTCAAGAAACTGAAAATATTGTTTAGATACCTGACAGATATCACAGACTGTTAATTGTTCAGGTGAAGGTTGGAGGAGGGAGAAGCGATGGTGTTTTCCGGCTAGTTTGTTGGCATGGTGGACACGGTGGTCACAGGCGGCGCAGAGGGCGGCTTCATCCGCCACACAGAATACTGATGCTTCATCTTTATCACATACATCACACAGGATCTTCATTTTATTTGATCAGATGCTTTAAACTTTTCCAAGTTTGTAATTTGGTGCTGGAGAAACTGATCGACAACAGAGAAATTTCCGGAAATGAGAAAAGAAATGTGGGGGATAAAGCATTGAAATTAGAAGATAATGTTGTGGGTGGTGGGGATGTATATTTTATTCCATTATTTCCATCATTCTAAACGATAACAGTGGAAGGCTGGATAAATTATGAAGTACGATGATAATGATAATTAATAATAAATGAATTTTTCAGTATGGGTCCTCAACCTCTCAAAAGTATGCAGCACGGTTCCAAATTTTTAAATCATAGCCGCTTCATGAATCATTTCAATAAATGTGCAGTACAAGGATCACTTAGTTGACCAATACTCAAGTTTTTGACTATTTTTTAAAAAGATAAAATGATAACTTCACATTTTTTTAATCTAAAATAACTAAAATAATTAAATAAATCGAATTATTTACCATTTCGGGACACCGCTTTATTTAATTAAAACGAATTATTCAAATCTTTCCAAATAGGTCCGGACCTGATTTCTCTCAATCATAACATAATTTATGATGTTTGTTTCTCTTACGGATGAATAAAACTTATTAATTTATGATGGATTTATTTATTTATTTATTTATAGATAAAAAAAAGTATAGATTGGCAAAATTCACATTAAATTGAGTTTATAAGTAACAATGATCAAGAAGTTAATAATTTCACGTATATATTGAACTGAGAGGTTAATAGCTAGGGAAAAAATCATTCAACTTTAACTCTATAGAGTGCGTGGAAGACTTTGTTTGATTTTGCTTAAAATTTGATAAAAATTTAAATCAAAATCAATAATTAATTTTAACAATTCGTTAACATAGACAATCGATATTTCAACTAGAGAAGCAATCAAAACAATGTGGATTAGCGCTGAAAACTTGACATGAAGTATTTCATTCTAAGTCCCTGTTTGGTACCAATTAAAATTTTCATTCACATTCTTCTATTCATTTTCAATCACACATTCTTCATTAAAATAATATTTTCCATCACATCAATAACTTTTCCTTCTTTTTCAACCACACATTCTCCATCAATCTACTATTTCAGAATACATTCTTCCAAAATAATGTGGCTACTTTCTGTACGTTAATATTCAAACATTGAGAATCAAGTTAAAATAAGGATCTTCTCGACGAGTCCTACAACTTTTTTTGAACTCTTTTCAACACATATCTCATCAATTTTTATTAAAATCTATTAAAAATCTTATGTTTTAGCATAGTCAAACAGACACTAAACCCATGTTTGGTTCAACTACAAAAGTTAATTAAAATCTAATTAATTTTAATGGATTCAAACTTTTCAACACTCACACCATTAATTTTTATCAAAATCTACTGAAAATCTGATCATGTAAAAAAAAAATTCACTATTCAACTCGATTGTCGTTAAGTCTACAAATAAGTTAGCCAAAAAAATATAAATAAAATGAAAGAGCAATGAGTACATGTTGTGTAGATAAAAATATCTCAAAAAAAGTATTAAAATAATACGATATTTTATCTCATTTGCATTGGAATATGTCCTTCTCAGCAACTGGGAATCATGGGATGCTTTAAAATATAGAATTATGATTTGGAGACTACAGTTTATTCATGTGAAAAAATAAAGGAGGGAATGGGAAATGCCGACGAATACTGTTCCTTTACCCTCGCTTCGCACCAGTTTTTTACGTGAATGCACCATTATTTTATGAATTTTATAAAGGGGGAAAAATTGCGTCGTTAAAAGTTAGTCTTCCATAAAATAAATAATAGGTCCCATTGACAATAATCGAATGTTTATTAATTTATCATGATATTCTCGTAGAAATATGTCTCACTTCAAATTTCTGAACAATGATTAAGGCCCTGTTTGGATCACAATATTTTTTTCATTCTCATTATTCTGCTCATTTTCAACAACACATTCTTCAATAAAATAATATTTTTCATCACATCAATAATTTTTCCTCTTTTTTCAACCACATATTTCCCATCACGTCAACAGTAAAAATTCATTCTTATCTTCAAAATGTGCACCAAATTGGGGCTAAGTTAGTAAACACAATCTAACTTCAGCAAAGTAAACAAGTGAGGACGATGGGATGACTTATTAAATATCTAGACAGTTGTCGATCCAAAAAAATGAAAATTTGACACTAACTTGGTACTCGAACAAAAAAGATTGAAACAATAGGGCATTTTTCCCTAAAGATGGAGATTAATTGTTCGTGTCAACACATTATCATGTCATATTTGTCTTGGTTTGGCTCCAATTTTTTAAAATTTATTTTCAACCACATATTTTATGAAATCTATAAATTTTTAACCACATATTTTATTATTTTTTTTGTCAAAGTTTATTAAAAATCTAATTTTTTTAATCAAAATAAAGAAGGCTTAGTAAATTTTTGAATTTTTTGTTGATTACATCATGCATGACCTTATTGGCATAAATTAAGGTCATAAATTTGTAGCATTAAAATTGGGTTTATCAAAATTTTCACCTAGCCAATAGAAAAATAGCATGGCGTAGCTCAATTCTCAATATGTGGACCTCTAATATGGTGGCACGTCTCGAGATTTGATACTTGAAACGCTCTTTTTACAATTTTGATACATGTGAACTATTTTTGATAATTTTATAAGGTACTATTAGATGTGACATTTTGTTATGATTTTACTGGAGAAAAGTGTATACGCCGTCGTGTTAGACCCATAATCTATCTTTTAGAGTAAACAATTATATAAATGATTAGTTAATGGTAAGAGTAAACGAACTCTATGAAACTATCTCAATTGATTATGCACACCTTGAACGAATAAGATTGACTAACCATGTCGGCTAACTCATTAATAAAGTTCACCATACGCATTAAAAACGCATCTTTGACAATGGGTGTTTATTATTGAAGTACACATTCTCCCAAACAAAATCACGAGATTTTCTCGCTAACACAAGATTTTTCTCATAATCTCTAATCGTAGTACCATTTTTGTCGAGGTTCCAAAAGCTAATCATTTCTTCGAATCGCGAAAATGGCAAAAACATAACTAAAGTAACTACAACAAACACAAACGACCTCTCACTTTATATTAACTTGACAATTAATATAAAAGATTATTGTTATGATTTCACGAAACCCGCATCGTTTAATTTTCCACATTCCAAAATCATAGGGTTTTAATTGAAGATAAAAAAAAAAAAAGGGGCAAATTTGACTTGAAATACTTGGTAACATGGGGTCAATTAAGGAAGCTTAACTAAATTGGTCGGCAAATTCCTTATTAATTAAGAGAAATGCTATTCATCCCCATTGAGGATGCATCCCCAGTCTATGTGGCATTAAATGATAGGTGAAATTAAATAAATCATTTAATTTCACCTATCATTTAACCAATAATTTACATCCATATAGATTGAGAATGCATCCCACTGGGGATGAATAGTATTTTTCATTAATTAAGGATGTAGACCAGAAAAAGTGGCCTAGAATCAAGAAAATTGAGGCAAAAACACACTTTTTTGGTACCAACGTTAGTTTAGTATTATTATTATTGAAGATACGGCAAAATTCACATGAGATGTCGGCATAAAAAGACAGGAATATAGCAGATTCATTTCATTTGGCCTGTTTTATTTATGTGGGAAGGCTGCAGATCAGAATATTTTAATTGCTAGTCATTTTTGTATTATTATATTCTTTCCGTCTATATAGGTTGAGTTTCCTTTTTCTCTTATCCCAAATTTATAATTGGGACAGATATCATTACATTTGAAATCTTTACACTTTCATCCTTAATCTTTACTTTTTAGTACTCGTATTCTCAATCTCTGAGAGGTTAGAGACGGAATTCATCCAAAAATAAAATACAAGGAATAAAAAAAGGGGGAAATAAATAATTTTTTTAATTAATATTTATCGTCCGTACTAAAAAACTTGAAATATGAGGAAAGGAATGATGTAATTCGAATCTTGATTACAGAGGATTTACTTGAATGTGAAGAAAGCAAAACTTTATTCAAATCTAGTACGATATTACTATTTATCATGCGTTCAATTGTCAAAGGTTTGCAACAAACGTTTTAGGTGTGATACTAAACATAATAATAAACTTTTGCTCTGTCCATTTTACACTTTATTACACTAGTCACAACTAAACGTGCGTTGTACGATATTTTGAAGCGTTATAAAAATGATATTTGAAAATCAGTGAATATAAAAAATAGTTAAAAAAACTGTTTATATGAAATGAACTTTTTAAATATAACGTCATTTGTCTAAATGTGTATAAACTATTCTTTTTTATATTTATTGATTTAAATTAATTAAATTCCACATTGGTTCATGTACACACAATTTGTTTAAATGTATATAAATTATTATTTTTCTCTATCTATTAATTCAAATTTATTAAATTTCATGTTGGTTCACTTACACATCCTTTGTTTAAATGTATATACATTATTCTTTTTATATATTTATTGATTCAAATTATTTAAATTCAATGTTCATAAATCAATTTGATTGTTTTCATACAATTCAATTATTTATTTGTGTGCATGATTAATAATTAAAATTCAATTAAATATATATTGAAAAAGGAAGAGTAATATACTATTTAAATAATTAAATTGTAATGGAGCTAAAATCGTTCAGAAAATAATTCTCACTTGATACGATATTTAATATATTGTAGGTAAATTCTTGCTACTAAAAATAATATTAAGACATTATTTTACTAATAACAATTAATATGAACATATATCATAAATTGAGTGTCGAGACAATCACGCGATGAGCGATGATAATTGAAATAGAATGACAATAACTTGTTAAAAATATATATAACAAAAGAGTATATATATTGGAAGGTCGCTCAAGCAGCCGTGCGCAAGTGCTTGGATCCTTCCAGGTCCATCGACCAAAATTACACTCAAAATCAAGCCGCTTATCACCACCGCCACCCCGATCCTCTAGCAAAATCGCAGAATTGCAATTTGACTCTAGAAAAATCGAACTCGAGAATGAAAATAAAATTAAAAAAACTACATTTTCATATCTAAATTTTCATACCCTTAACTTGGCCGAGTGATCGCCTGAGCCAGTGGCGAATCAGGTGAATCAGGTTGACTGAGCAACAAACCTTTTTCCACTACACGGTCTTTAGCCTCCAGTCACCACCTTTACCGTAACTCGATCATCCCAAGTCTTTCATTGTTACTGCCAAAAAGCTATGCACAGAGAGAAAGGGGTGTTGGCGCCAGCAGGGCAGCGTTTCAACCATCTCAGCCCATTATCGGCTATTCTGAGCTTCTATGCAGCCATGTAAGATCGGCGCAAATGACAATATTAACAATCTAGAAATGGAGGGGAAAATAACAACAGAATTTCTCCACACAAACCAAAAAAAATAGAGAGATACATCATCAAATGATGTAGTTCCTTCTATGTACTTGTTCACCCCCAACCCTCCACTCTGATTCCTACCCTACACCCACGTAGAATTAATGAGTACTCAAACCCCACACGCTCAACTTGACCCTACTTCAAACTCGTAGACTCTACACAAATCCTTTTCTTTAAAAGAAAACAAGTCTATACATATCGTATTCCCAAATAAAAAAGTCTTAAAGCCTTGCAAGTCATAGTTTAGCCGGATAGCTTCAGCCACCCCTAGTCTCACTTATTTTTCATCATCATCATCACTATCACCATGTATCCACCTCAAAATTTTCACCCCCACACCCTGCTGGTCTTATTTTCCTGCTAAACATTAAACAGAAGAATACTGTGAGAATATAGTGTATCTGAAAATTGATCGCCAGGAAAAAGATGTATTTTTCCTTGCTTTTCAGTGGT